TTTATTCATGGTTTTTCAGTTTCCATAAAAGTTGATGTTTTTTCCCTAAAAACAAATTATTTTTCGTTTTTTTTTTTTTTTTTTATGAGGGTAACCATTTTTCCAAGCGGAATTAGAGAAAAACGAAAAATTGCCACACATTTTTGCATTTGTTCACCCCAGAGAAAAAGGAAACATTGCCACCCATTTTTTTAATTGTTCACACACCAGGTTGCTTCAAAACCCCCGAGGGTGAACAAAAAAATATTTTAATTTCCGTTTTAACCCCAAACCGTTGTTCTTTTTTTCAACGGGTGGTGCCAGCTTTGCCCCAACCACAAAATAGTTACCCTTAAACCCCCAGTTTCCCGGTTTTTTCGTTCTTCCCCTTCCCCCAGGGAAACAGAAATCCCGTTGGAAAATTTCGCTAACCCCTTGGGCCCCAAAAAGCTTTTCAAATTTTGTTTTTGGGAGAGGAAACTAGAGACAGGAATAGCCAGGCAGGGGGGGGGGGGGGGGCTACAGGCATGCAGACCTGCAACGCTTGTATGCATACCACCCGCCGGAACGAGAGGCCATATGTACGCACAGCGTGTTTTCACCGCCCCAGCACGTGCGTCCAGATTTCTTTGTTTTGCTTTGACCAAGTTGAACTGAAGGTTAATCTCGAGGCAACGCTGGATCTGTGCTGGAATATCGTAGGATCAGGTAAGAAACAGGGACAATTTCTACACATGTGCATCTGACAATTTTAGGTCAGCTATGTACTATGGTCTGATCACAAGGAGGCGGGATATCTGGGGCATGTAGTTGTCCTTGTTGTTGGTGTTGTTGTTACTGATGTCTTGACATTTCATGAATCACCGGTTCGAACCTCTGTCCAGAACGTCTTCGTCCGTCTCCTCTTAAAGATGAAAAAAACTGCTAATTTAGTTGTCGATGATGAGATGGTGTTTGTCCTCCTGTGTAAGTGCGCCTGCTGAAATATCGAAATAGCGCATGGTTTGGGACGATTGGGCCCAGCGGTCGGGGGCAAGGCATCATGGGTGCCATAGTCTATACTATTCGACCCCATCCGCGAAAAATAATACAATATGATACTCTTTCGTCCATCAGCCGCATGTCATGCTTTCTTCGTTTTTTTCCAATGAGGTCAGCGAATCTCTTTGCCGGATGTCCAATGTGGCCGAAACTCTAGCAAGTTTGGGCAACTTCGAACCAGACGATTCGCAGATCTGTCCATGTAGAGGCAAAAGGAGGACAAACTAATTGATTGTGCCGCATAGGACAAGGATCAAACCATGCGTCGCTTCACTGCTGTCCATCCCCGTAAATACAACTTTTAGTATTCAAGAGCATGAAATCACTGTTCTGAATTTCACGCCAGACAAAGAGCTAAATAGTTGTGCTGATCACACCTTTGCACTACTGTGTCACCACCCTCAGACTCGATTCACAAAACCACACCACCACCACCACCAACAACAACAACAACAAACACAACCACAACGACAGCAGAGGCATCGTTCCTTAGCCATCGCCAGCAGAACGTTGCTACGCGAGGCGCGGCACGTCTGTACGAGATGGCTAGTTCAGCCTTTTCACAGGTGAGCGAAGATGCATGCATCGCAATCTGAAAGAAGGAACGTTCGACACTCAGGGAAGGTGAACCAGTGGCAAGGGGGCGGACACAAGAAGATTGGCCAGTGGCATCAAGATTGGAGGGGCCCGCGCTGTCGTAGTCTTTGGTGTTAGCGTTGATCGCTTGTCGTTCACTCTCTGCTCATCTCGCGTATTTGCAGGAGGTACCACGGCCTTCTTCTCTTGCCTGTATCCCATGGGAAAGTTGAAAGTTATCGCGACGGTCTGCCATACCAAAGGCCAGCATGTACAATTAGTACGAAGCCCGCCCCCTTCGAAACTACAGCAGCAGCAGTGGTGGAACCAGTTGTATTGTGTTCTCACGAACAGTTCATGTGTGATGAGGTGTGTAGTACACGTCGCAAAGGCCACAACAGTGGTCAACATGTTCAAGCGCAGCCCTCGATTCGAGGATCGTTCATGGGTGACTAGAATTGAAATTTCTCAATTAAACCGATGCGGCAGAAGTCTATCATAGCGGCGTTTCTGAATTGAATGTCTGGCAACATCAACGCGAAACGTACACTGACTGGGCTAGACTACACCCGTACATCATGTTGGTCTACTTGTAGTCTACGTTAGCCGAAGAGCAAGTACTGCATAACACCAGCGATATCTATGTGCAACGTTTCGCAGCATGACAAAATAATACCACAAAGCTCTAGAGTATCGTATCAACCCTGCGTGCCTCTTCCATACATAGAGGAGGACGAGCACTCGAGGAGAGAGCTAAAGAGAGGGACAGACAGACCGACAGACCGACGGTCACATAGAGAGTCAGCAATAGAGAGACAGAGAGATAGAGAACGAGGAAGAGAGAGAGAAAGGCAGGCAAACTGAGGGGAGGCAGGCTAGCAGGCAGCAAGGGGCTGTGTTGTTTGTTGTGGTTGTTGGTTGCTTGCAGACGTACACGATTGGGCGGGTAATACATCAGCGATAAAATGTATTCCGAAACGGCACCAAACCTGCCGCATATTTTGCTCCTATGCCACCGCCCGACAACCGACCAGCTGCTCGCCAAAATGTCAGTTTCGCACATCTGCGCGCTGCCTTTTGCTTCTGCACACGTATCGCCTACACCAAATGGCCATGCCAATCGCCATGGCATAACTCCCTCGAACCTGCCGAATCATGTGTCGCAGAGACCTCTCGTCGCCGGCGATCCGACCGCCATTTGGCAGAACGAGCTCTCCACGCCTGTCACACGCGCCACCACTGGGGAGCAGAGACCGGCGGCGCTGTACAACGGTCGGACGTTTTCGGCCGATGTACCATTGGCCGGCGGTGCTTCCCAACACGCTGGGGAACACCACCACTGGCAGCAGCAGCAGCAGCAGCAGCAGCAGCAGCAGCAGCAGCAGCAGGAGCAGCAGCACGTGCACTACCAGTGCCATCATGACCACCACGACGGCGAGCAACAGCAGCGACTACAGCAGCACTGGTCGAGATTCCACTCTACAAGGCCTGGTGCATTCTCCGGCCCTTCTGCCGCCTCGGAAGGCTGCGTTTCGCGGACAGAGGCAAGTTTAGGTCTCCTGTACAACCGGTGACCAGTTGTCACTTGATGTTTTGTCATTCCGTGTTCTATGCATTGTAAATGTACGTGTCATCGCTACTTCGCCACAGACGAGGCCTAGACCACAGCACGTATTCAGCGGGCATTTTCTGTATGTACTCCCCAAACCTAAAACAAATTAAATAAATGAACACACCCCATATATTGCGCTGCATATGTGTGCATCGCTCATCCCCATATGGTATTCTCATGGCGTTCTTGCTTATTTTCGTTGCGCGCGACATGCAGTTATTTCGTCTCCACACGTAGCCTACAGCATACACCACTAGCCAAACCATGTCACAAGAGGCTGTAGATATCACCACAGCTGTTGTGGAGCTACCTTACCATGGCTCTACCATAGCCTCCCATGTGCACGATTGTCAAGTGTTGGTGTGGTGGTCTCACCAATGTACATGTAGTGCGGCACCAACTACTGCTGTACCTACCTTCAAGCGCGTGCGCCTCTCGCTAGCGAGAGCAGAACTCCGACCTGCATGCCCATTAGTTGTACTATTCACGTCGTGATAAGGCCTACCGAACGATCCGTTCAGGCTGCGAGGCAACATGTTCCCGCGGTACCCATGCAGGCTGCTGTCTCCATTTTCTGCTCACTCTGCGGGATCTGTCGCAAACGCATGTGCAACACCGCCACGGACTATTGATATTGCTCTCGGAGGACGAAACTACGGCCACTACATGCATTACGGTGGGAACCCCAGCGTACTCCACACGGAGCCCGTTAATCTGTTTGCTGTGTGGAATCTGACCCTAGCAGACCCTCTCGATTTCTTTCCGACAACGTTCGGCGTCTTGTTCCTGTGCCTTCGTACTTCCTTTTCTTTTCCCGGCCAGAAATGGCGCGAAAGCTTGGAGGGCGGTCAGCCAAGCGACCAAGCAGAGAATCAAGGGCGGCAGAGCGAGGCCCAAGCCCTCTGTTCTAGCAGCGGACGCCACCAACCATGCCAAGGCTGCTTGGCGAAAGCGGCCGAGCTGAGGGATGTGATGGCGTCCCTCGAGCTCGTCCAGGTACGATCGCGCGCCGCGGTGGATCGCTGCAACAAGCAGCAAACGGACCTGGAGCGCCGGCGGGACTACACCGGGCAGCTGGAGAGGTCTCTGGAGGAGGCTAAGGCCGAAGTCGGTCGCATCCAGGTGAGAGAACGAGGACACATTCATGCGCTCATAAATCAGAGATAATGCCTGCAAGTTTGGTTTGGTCCGCGTAGACGGACGTCTTGTGCGTTGGTCGCTTCGTTGGCGCGGTCCTTGCTCGAGAACGAAACACACAAACATGATGCGCCACTCCTGTGCAGTATCACGATATAATCTACTATAGTGCACTCGGATACAGCTCGTTGGTACGACTGTGAAACGCTCGCGACGGGTGGCATTAACTTTCCCGTGTCGGAAGCAACGCGTGCGCTACGATAGTTGAAGACCGCGTGTTTCCGCTTGGTGCAGGTTTGACGTGTAGCACGTCAATCTCTCCTGGACACCGACCGAACTAAATTGAAACATTTTTTTTTGCCGCTCACGATTGGCAGCACCTCGTATCAAATCTCGGGCGCACTGCGTGACGCGAGAGTACCGGCACTTCCTCCCTACTCCTCAGATATTGTAGTGACTTTCTGTCAACAGTTACCTCTGAGTGGAGCGCTGCATTATTCTATGCGGAACGTCGGCACCAGAGAACCACTACCCGTTGTGTGTGCGCGCATTCTACTGAAGCCGTCCTCTTTCGATTCTTCCATCGCTAGGCATCGATGCAACAGCTCGAGAGGGAAAACCTCTCCCTGCTCGCTCAGTTGGCGGGGAGGGCAAGCTCTTCTGCTGCAGCGGCAATGCTACAGAACCTGGCGGTAAGTCGGGGTACCTCGTGCTCGTGGTTGTGGTAGGTATCGATCAGTTATTTACCATTGTAGTGTCCTGTTGCGGCAGGGGGCAGGAGGTAGACCGGGAGCATGATGGAATGCCTTTCCGGGTGAGGGACCCCGACGAAATGGGCTGCACATAGCATAGAACAGCTCGTGTGCCCTGCATAGAACCGATTGCGAGGCGTGGGACTCACCGACCGAACGGCCGTGAAGCAAATTTGTCGCGAAAAGGCGGAACACAAGACATGTGGCGAGAAAACGCCACCAAAAGTATGCACAGCGCCCAACGCACGCCCTTTACCGGTGAGGCGGTCGTGTGCGGTCGTTGGTTTAGCCAGTTGGCGTGGTCAGTGGCACACGTGTTTCACGGCCTAGCTTTCCACCCGGTACTCTAGACTTTCACACCATCCCCACTTTATTGGAGACAAACGTGCTTTCGGAGGTGGTCGATGCCAGCAACGCCGACAAAACCGTGGTGCACATAGACAACGCATCACGCCAGCGATATGTCGCCGGGTTCTCCCAACATCAACAACGTTTTGGTTTCAATCGACTCAAAATACGTGAACCCTATGTTATTTTCCCTTTTGTTACTTTTCCGACAGGCCGCTGCCGCTACCGCCACTGCCGCCGCCACCGCCGCCGGGGGGGGGATGGGTGCAGAACAGGGCGTGGTTAACGCACCGCCAGTGGACGACGACTTGGGAACGGCGTTCATCCGACGTCAGCTGGAAGACGCCTGCACGAAGGCGGTGTTTGCCCAGCGTGCGCTCGATCCCGAGCGCGGGTTTCTCCAGATGGGCGACGAGCTCGGGGCTGGTGGACACGGCACCGTGCGTAAGGCCGTGGACCCGACCACGGGGAAGACATACGCGGTCAAGACCGCCAACGACGTGAGTGTTTTTTAGTAGATGGCATGCTGAATGAAGGGTGCGCACAGGCATCAAGACACGCAGACGAACTTAATATTCGGCGGCACGCTCTCGCGCTGCAGGTGTTCGTAATCGCAGCCACGCCCTTTTGGTCGACACTGCGGCTCACGACACGGTTGCAGATGTTTTTGTTGCTGCGTTTGGTGTCACCATCTTCGGGGTCCGTGCCCTGTTTTACCGATAGTCTGTTCTTCGTGCGACGTCGAAGCACATTCATGTATTGTGAAGAAAACAACGATTGTTGGATATAGGCACAGGCGCTTTATCATGGTTTGGGGGAACCGACGATCCGAGCTCTCGCCTGTTCACCAACCAATCTCTCTTGACACGTAGATCCCTTCCTCGTCGAACCGCCTTCGTGGTGGTGCTGGTGCTACTGCCGCTGCGTTGCGAACAAATCCTGATCGACCACTGCTCTATCCCTCCTTTCGGTACAGGAGGAAGGCAAGGCCTGCCTGAAGGAAGAGGCGAAGAACCTCATCCGGTAAGATCGGTCTCAACCACTGCTGTATTGTTTTTGAGGGATCGTACCACTTCGTGCTGCTGCATCCATCCGCATCACGCCATGCATCGTTGTTTTTTGCGTGCATTTGTGCTAGATGTCCTCCGATGTCTCTGATCCCTGCACCCACGCCTTGCGAGCGGCAACGCTGTAGCCCATGGTCGGTCGCACTTCTTGGTGTTATGTGGGCGTACAGACAATGTTGATTCCAACGGAACGGGCCTACCATACCAGATTGCGCATGGATTCCTGCGAGCTCTGCAGTGCCGAGGACGGATAAGGGGTCAAGTTTTGTACACGGGGCCCCTGGCCTCGTGGGTTTGGACAAGGATGTTTACACTTGTTCTTATTCGCTTTCCCCGTCGCTGACCTGTCAGCAACCCAAGCACCGCCGTGCTCAAGTTCTCGTTTAGCTTTTGTGCAATATACCCATCAACGCTTGGTACGCTTTCCTTCTTCGATGTCGTTCGCGGTCCGTCGTCTGTCCGTGTGTTGCAGGCTCGGTGTTGACGAAGGCGTCGTAGAGGTTATGGCCATCCTCGACAAAGACAGTTCGATGGCCATCGCGATGGAGCTCGGGCAAACCGATCTCCAACACGCCATGTTCGACCAGAAGCGCACGGTGGTCGAACTGTTGACGTAAGTGCGGGAAACAAACACGCACAGCACCTCTCTGAATACATCGTGCCTGCCTCGGGCACGTCTCAAATGCTCCCCGGCAACGGTGTATGCATACACCACTGTAGGCGCACAAACCTTAGTCGTGTCAGAACCAGCTCCACCTTTATTCCCCTTCAGACCGAGATGAAATGTTATTAGGGTTCGGTCGTACTCTCCGTCCATGCCTTGCGTACCGACGGAGCAGCTAGAGAGTTGATGGTTAAGACGGTATTCGTGTGAGGTGAGGGAGGCAGAGCAATAGAAGAGAAGCCCCCAAGCGTGAAAAAAATCAATGCCCGATTCCACCATCAACAGGAGTGTTATTTACACAGCTCGTCCAGTGCTGTGTCGCCTCTCGGTTGAAAGTAGTACAGTACGTCTTTTGTGTAGCGGCAGTCTGCTTGGCGGGCGAATATCCATCTCACTCCATTCCAGTTGTGTGGGGTTACCAGGGTCCATGACCAAAATAGCAACTGCGACAACCATGGCACCAAGTACCTCCCTAGATGCACGACCCGTCTCTCGCTTTCTTCATCAATCCAAGTGGGTAGTGGCCGGGTGTCATCCCTAACACTGCTCCTGCCTGCAAACTGGCGAACTTGTTCAGGTATGCCGCACAGGTGGCCGACGGAGTAGACTTCATGCACGGCAAGGGCCTCGTCCACGGGGATGTTAAGCCCGACAACGTCGTCCTCGTCAAGAAGAGCGAGACCCTTACCGTGGCCAAGTTGGCCGACCTCGGCTTGTCGCGCGGTGAGACACAGGGTACCGAGAGAGAGAGAGAGAGAGAGAGAGAGCGACACACACACAGATAGAGGATGCACTGCTTCGAGTAGTGGCTGTATTGCAGAGCCGCGCTTCTTGCTAGCTGTTGATCGTTGCGGAACATGTTTTGAAACAATCAGAGACACAAGCTGCTGAACATGCGACTTCTCTCCTCCTCTACCCCTCCGCCATGCCCACCACGTGCGTACCTCACTAATGCTCTTCCACAGCGGTGGGTGAGAGGAAATACAGAGGCTGCGGTACGCTCGGGAACTCCATCACTCCCAACAATTACTTCGAGGAGGTTCCCGCGGACAAGGCCGACGACGTCTGGGCCCTCGGCGTGTTGCTTCTGTCCTTGCTGCTGCCGCGGGGCCTCTTCTCGAGCAACTTCTTGACGAGTCGTGTCCTCCACACCGCCGCGGAGAGGGAGGCACTCGCACGCTCCACCACGAGCAGGCAGAGACTCGAGATTAAGGTGCGGTAGAGTCAACCACCCTCCCCCACCCCCCGGCAGCGGGAAATAGATTCGGAACTCGGCCTCTCGTCCGTTTTTGTCTCCCTTCCTCTCGTCGCGCATTGGCCTCGTTGTCGCCGTTGTTGTGTTGCTGTGTTCATGAACACAACCGTTCCGGTCTCTGCCTCTGACCATTACCTCAACATCCGTACTGGTCCAACTGAAGCGGACACCTTCCGTGGTCACAGACCAACTATACAAATATGGTACATGGGGTGGTCATATCGTCCCTCGCCTCGTCCTTTGCCGATGCCACCTAATGTGCACGCGTGTGTGCCGCCCTCTTGCTTTTCTCTCCCTCCAGTTTCGCATGTCCTCCCGCACGGCCAACGACACGTCCGAGAATGGATTCCAGAAGAGGATGATCAGGGGCATGCTCTTCGTGACCCTCGAGCAGACGATGCGGGTGAGATTTCCCTCACGATCATTCCCCTATCCCATTTTCCCCGACATGTTTCACTCCATGGGGATGCCGTAGATACTGCTCTCATGACAACCTCCTTCCCTTGAATTTTGCAGCAGCATATACTATGGTAATATTGACCCCTTTTCATGGGAACCCTGCCTTGACAAAAGCACCAACACCCGATCAAGCATCCATCGGGTCAGCCCACGATTGTTCCTTGCTACTCTGCTCGTGCATGAAGCTGGCCTCCCACTCTGCTCCCGCCGCTGCTATGTACTATCGTCTCGACAAATCTGCTCGGATAAACGTGACCTCAAACATACCATCTGATCCGGTGCTTTGGTGCATTGTTTTGGTCTCTTTGCACCCGACACACACCACTTCAAGGACACCGCCTGTGATTTTCTGCGGCGCATGGTCGACCCCGACGCCAGCAAGCGGCCGGACATCGGCGAGGTGCGGGCGTGGCTGCCGTCCATCATCCAGTCCGCGGAGAGGCAGACGGCGGTCACGGCGGCGGCCGCTCTGGTGCCGACAACGCCCTCTCCCCCGCCTCGGTTGCCGCTGTCGAGAGGGGGCTCCGTGTCTACGATTTCGTTTTCGTCCTCTGGGGGTAGCTCGGACTCTTCTTCTTCTTCTTCTTCTGCGGCGAGAACGTCAGACTCTGCTTCTTCGCCTTCGGCCGGGTCGGCGCCATCGGCCGGGGGCTCCGTAGAATCGTTCTCGTCTTCGGCCTCTCGCTCGGGGAGGCTCGCCGTTGTCTTGGAGGACGAGGCCGGTATGGCTGTGAGTGGGCAACAAGAGGACGCTACCCCGAACCCGCCCGCCGCCGCTACCGTCGCCACCGCCGCCGCCGCCATCACTCCCTCGATGGCCGGCAGCACAAGTGCAGAGGCCGCGGGTGGCGACAACTCGGCCCCGGACTCTTGGATGCCCTCGCACGACGGGGCTTCTCTCGCCCTCGGTACCGGTGCGGCAGAGAGCGTGCAGGATGGCGTGGCGCACAACTCCGGTTCGGAGGACGCCTGGTCCACAGGCACCAGCAGCGTCTCCGGCATCGATGCTGCCGTCGGAATCAACTCGAGCGCCGACATCTCCCAGCAGCAGGTCGAGTTGTCTTCAAATGTGGGCTCTGTCCGGTTTTTCTCCGGGGCAGGTGCGGCGGGCGCGACCGACGGGCTGCTGCTGCCGCTGGTCAGCGGGGGCGGGTGCAGCACCAGCGGTAGCCGGCAGGCCCGAGGCGATGATGGAGAGGCGACGGTGGATGCCGACGGTTGGTCCGAGCCCGTAGCGGTGGGGTGTGTGAGCGTCGAAGGGATCGTCGACGGCAACGGTAGCGCGGACGCCGGCACCTCGAGCGCGGTCGACGTGACGTTGACTCTGACCCCGGCAGTTTCCGCGATGGTGGCGGAAGAGGGGCCGACTGGTGATGGTACCTTTGGCGAGCACTGGGCAGTCGGTGGGAGTCGGGAGTGCCTCGGCAGCGGCGAGTGGGGAGAGGCGGCCGCGACGGGGCCGCGGCAACGACCCCGTCTGGGCACGTTCTTGAATCTAGTCTCGGAGGGCCCCCCCGCCGCCGCCACTGCTGGTGAAGGTGCTGTGGGTGCATCGTCCACGATGACCGCTCCTCCCCCCATCGTGCCAGGGAGTTTCGCGTTCGAGGGTGCGGGTACGGCGGGGGGACAAGAGCCGTGGGCGATTGACCTGGGGATGGCTGCTGCTGGAGCGGGTGGATGGGGAATCGACCTATGGGTGACGGCTCTCGCCCCTCTTCCTCAGGATGTATTCGCCCCGGAGGTAAACATGGCCGTTCAATGTGGCCGCTACGGCCGCCGCCGCCGCCGCCTCCCCTGCTTTGCCTCCCTCCACTGAGGGGCAACTACGATGACATGGCAAGCGTTGAGAGGGTATAGTCGTCGGCCAATGTCATGTACCGTAGGAAGTCAGTCGTGCCCTATACAGCTAGGTGCTTTTGTTGCTTTTGCAGACAGCAGCACACACGTCACATGCAGGCCATGGACGGTAACTTGACGTTGATCCTCTCATGGATCGCGGAGTCTAGAGTCTGGCGAGCGTTTCATGTCCAGATCGAGAGCCCGTAGGGTCGTCTCGTGGGCAAGTATCTCGTGATGTTCTTGTAGGGATGGTAGGGTAGCTCTCGTGGCCAGCGATACGAGCAAGGTGTGCGGCCGTGCATGCATATAGACTGCTGCTTGGCGGTGGGAGGAACCACCGCCGTACAATTTATTTACAACGAGTATTTTAATGGTCTTTTCTTTATTTCTTGGTCGATTCCCGGCCGTTGTTTCTTTTTTATTTCTTTGTTGCAGCTGGTATACAGCAGATGTGGCAGCTTTTACAAATCTTACACGTGGTGAGTAGGAGTAGTTGCACCCTCTCTTATCACCAAGATAGCGGGTGCCGTTATATAAGTGTGTCTTGTTTGTCGATCCCCGGACGCCGAGATTTGAGGATAGTTTCGATGTACCTACTTTTCTAACTAGATTCCAGTTTGATCAAATAGTAGGCATGACAGCAGTGTCTATGACCAAAAGGTAGCGAACGAAAGTGGAACGCGGGAGGTTTTCTGTCTCGCGTCCTTCCCTGCGTTGTGTGGGCAGGGTGTCGGTAGCAAAAACTAATCTTGTTTTGGAGGTCACAAGAAAGTCAGCACCTTCAGGTGCAACTTTCTCGCGATTTTTCACACACAGAGTTAACTTGACGATAGACTAGTAGTGTTCGAAGGGCCCTACGGCTGACTACAAGGAGTGTCGGGCGGCGGGGCCGGGGGGGAGGGAAGGGGGAGGCATTCTTTAGGACCAGTGATCCACGCTGTCGTTTGATATTTTTTCATGCGAGGACGTGGATCATTTCATCGTAAATTGTAGAGGGAAGGTGTAGAAGGGATTGAGCAAAACAAGCAAAATCCGATACGATACTAATACATTGTGCTGTTTTTTTTTTCTTTTTGTTTGTGGAAGTCGTTCGTGTTTCTTGTCGTCCATTGTCGTTCTTCAACGAACTCTTGCCAGCAGCACACTACTGTGTCTGTGATTGTGGTCTGGGGTGTGTGTGTGCGTACTCCAGGCATCACACGCGCTCAAGCTGCAGGACAGGCCATCGCGAACTTGGGACTGCTGCTGTAGTACGAGGGTTTTGAGATCAAAAGTAAACTGTTCTTCCTCACTCCATCTTTGGTTTCGAAATTGGAATCACTCGTCAGAACCAAGACGAAGACGTCAGGGGCTGCAGTGTTTGGTTATAGAAATAACCAAATCATCATTCTTGATCGCACCCCAATGAGCACTGCTCAGCGAAAATAGGAAGGCGGAGTCACCGAGCGATGTCCTCGAGAGCAATATCTCTTCTTCTGCTTCTAGAGAAACCATGCACAAAGACAGACAAGAAGTCGAGCAGGTTGAGAATACAGAACAGATCAAGAAAGCGTAGCCTCAAAACCACACGGCATGGTATTTTCTAAGGCGTTTGAAGTCAACGATGAAGTCGACGCCCACGACCGGAGCCAATTGGTACGGCACTTTCCCCCACGGACTTGGAAGTTTCACGACATAGTCTAGGCATGAAGACATATGCTAGGTCTAGGCTTGGTTGGCGCTGTGTCCTTCTCGCGCCCTCCCTCTCTCGTACCCCTCTCGCCTACACCTTACTTCCTGAACAGCCCATCGAACCGAAACATAGATGTGTATTCTTCGGCGATAACGGCGACGTAGAGAAACAAGCACGCAGCGCCGGTTTGTCAATCTGTCTTCCTGAACCAATGTAACGTCCACTTCATCTTACAATCCCCCCTGCGACACACGTAACCCCTCGGAAGCACACGCAAGCCCTGGTGTAGTGTGCCTGGCTTGATCGCCCGACAACCCCTAGTCGTCGTTTGTAAGTCGTCGTGATGCTCGTAGTCGTCGTGATACTCGCGGTGTCTCCGGCAGAACACCTCACTTCAGACGAGGTATTCCCTAGTAGGCCAACCAACATAACCTGAATATTTGGGTTGACGGCCACGGGAGGGGTGGGGAAACACGTTGTTGACCTGCGGGTTTTCATAGTGTGACCGTCGCCTCTAGCGGTCGTCGTCGGTTGGGGGTATTGGATAACGTTTTTGCTCAACATAGGGAAGGCAACAACGTGCGGGGCGGAAGGATCAGGTTCTCGACGCGAGAAAGGGGCGCGAGCTTGGGGGGACGGAGGATGCCGTGCAACCGACCGACAGTTCTCTGCTCTACCTGCGACAATTTCCTTGGACTCTTTGCATGTCAGCAACTAACTCTTGTACCACCCAGGGTCGTGATGTGATTTATCTGAGATGTACAACTTCAGAGCCACCTCTCCCCTCCACCACAAAAGACTGACGATTTAGTTCATCACGCCCAACACGTGCACACGGTAACGTCTTCCGATGAACAGCGTTACTGTCGCGACCCTGAAAGTCAGCTTTTCACTCTTTGACCTGGGTGCTGCCTCACTCACGGAGGAACACCTCAAGGTCCACCTCTCCTTGTTGGCGTTCCCACGATAGCTCCGAAAGACATGGACGGCTGCGACGGGCTCATTGAAGGGGGCTAGTGGCGGCAAGGTGCTTGTTCGCTCCACCTTTGTTGCTCACCCCAAGTGTCCAAACCGTCACCGGTCGATGGAGCCCTCCGTCCGTGTACAGTAGGTGTTCTAGCGCTGACGCCTCCGCAGCGATGCTATGCCACGCCGATTCGATCCGATCTAGGATGGGTATGGGCTGGGGTTAGCGCCGAATGAAACCCGGAGTCGGGGTTAGAGCAAGATGGCCGAGAAGTCCGTGAGTGGGCGGTTGTACTGAAGTCGTCTGCTCTCTTCTACCAGACAACGCCAATGTACGGTAGTCGAGAGAAACCCGCCGCCGACCAATGCAAGAGCGTGGCCCTTTCATGACGGGACTGCTGTAGAGACAGCCTGAGAAATGTAGTGCAAGCGACAGCAGTGGCAGTGGGGGTTGCGGTTGTTGGGACGGATCGCGAAACCGACATCGTTGGTAGTTGTGGTTAGTCGCGCTCCCGCTGGGCCGCAGCCACCCAAGGCCCAGGCAGGGGAGAAGACCTCTCCGTCGGCGAGCTCGCCCAAGGATATGTTGCACCGGACTGTAGTATCGCCCGCTTCGTCTGCTTCTCTCTACCGTACGGAAAAATGACCCATGAAACTTTGTTCTCTCAGCACCTACGTTTTCCTGTGGGATGTTTGAACCACTTTCCCGGTGGAACGAGAGACGATACGTACGCATCACGTGGTTTTACCACCCCAGCACGTGCGTCAAAATAGAGACCTTGCTCGGACAAGCGTGTGTTGTTTTTAGCGTGCGCTTTCGCTAAAGCATCCGGATTGGAGGGAATCGGACTCTTGTAGACGCAGTTTTTTTCCAGCGTCCGTCTTTGAACAAGTGCAACTGAGGGTTGACCGTGACACCACGCTAGATCTGTGCTGGAATTGGCTCATGTGAGCCAAAGGGCGAATTTCCATGGATGTGTGCCTGATATGCAGAACTCTGGGGTAACTGCAGGTCATCTACTATGGTCTGGTCCCGAAGGAGCGCAAGGAGATCGGATTTCTGGGGCATGCAAAGCGGTCCTTGCGGTTGGTGTTGTTGGTGATGTTGCTGTTGTTGTTAGTGACACTTTCATATTTTCCGGTCTAAACCCCTGTTGAGAACGTCTTCGTCCGCCCCCTCTTCAAGATGAAGAACGAAATGCTGCAAATTTGGTTGTCGGTGGTGGTGTTTTACCCTCCTGTGTGTGTGTGCCTGCTGAAAGCTGGACCGAGATAGCGCATTGTTTGGGACTGTCGGGCCTAACGGTCGGGGGCGAGACATCATGGGTGCTACGTGAGAAAAAATATTGCTATCGGGTATTATTGTAGCATATCAGTCTGTTCAGCAGGGGAGTCAAATATTCGACCCCCCCCATCCGCGCAATAACAGTACGACTATGATACTCTTCGAAGAGGTCAACTTCTCCCGGGTCAATTAATCTCTTCGCCGGATGTCCGACGTAGTCAAAACTCAAGCGCGTTTGGCAACTGTGAGCGAGAGGGTTTGACGAAAGCTTCTGGTCTGTTGATGTAGAGGCAAACGGACGACACAGGGAGCTGTTCGTGCTGCATGGAACAAGGATCAAACCGCTTTGTGTCGCTTCACTGCTGTTCATTTAAGTAAAGAAATACATATCTTTACAATCAAGAGCACGAAAATCACTACTGTTCTGAGTTTCACGTCAGACAAAGAGCTAAATAGTTGTGCCGATCGCAACCTTTGCACTGTGTCACCACCCTCAGACCCCATTCACAAAACCAACACCACCACCACCACCACCGACAACAACAACAACAACAACAACAACAACCACAACCACAACAACTACAAGCAGAGGCATCGTTCCTTAGCCATCGCCAACAGAACGTTGCTACGCGAAGCGCGGCACGTCTGTACGAGATGGCTAGTTCAGCCTTTCCACAGGTGAGCGGAGAAGCGCGAATCGCAAACAGAAAGAAGGAACGCGCGACACTCAGGGAAGGTGAACCAGTGGCAAGGGGTCGGACACAAGATTGGCCAGTGGCATCAAGATTGGAGGGGCCCGTGCTGTCATAGTCCGGGTGTTAGCGTTGATCGCTTATCGTTTACTCTCTACTCATCTCGCGTATTTGCAGGAGGTACTACGGCGTTCTTCTCTTGCTTGCATCTCATGGGAAAGTTGAAAGTTGTCGCGACGGTCTGCCATACCCAAGGCCAGCGTGTAGTTCCGCACGAAGCCCGCCCCCTTCGGAACTACCGCAGTGGTGGATGTTTTCTGACGAACAGTTCCTGTACGATGGGGTGTATGGTACGCGTCGCAAAGGTCACAATAGCAGTGCTCAACCTGTTCAAGCGCAGCCCTCGATTCGAGGATCGTTCATGGGTGACATGTACTGTAGAATTGAAGTTTCCCAATTAAACCGATAGTCTAGACGAAGAGGGCGTTTCTGATTTGCATGTCTGGCAACATCAAACAGCGAAACGTACACTGGGCTAGACTACACCCGTACATCATGTAGTCTAAACTGTAGTCTACGCTAGTATTATCGACACACTGGATAACACCATCGATATCTATGTGCAACGTTTCACAGCACGACCAAGTATAGACCACAATGCTCTAGACTATCGTATCAACCCTGCCTCTTCCTAACTGAGAGGAGCACAAGCAGGCACGAGCACGGGCGGAGAGAGCGAGAGAGAGACAGACGGACAGACAGACAGACACAGAGAGAGAGACAGAAACAGAGAGACAGAGGCAGAGAGAGAGGGGGGGGAAGAGAGAGAAAGGCAGGCAGACAAAGGGGCAGTAGGATAGCAGGCAGCAAGGCCGGATGTGTTGTTGTTTTGTTGTTTTGTTGTTGTGGTTGCATTCATGCAGACTATTGTGCGGATAAATACATGAGCGATTTATGCCGAAACGGCACCAAACCTGCCGCCGCATATTGCTCCCATGCCACCACCCGACCACCCGACCAGCTGCTCGCCACATGTCAGTTTCGCACAGCTGCGCGTTGCCTTGCTTCTGCACACATATCGCCCACATGAAATGGCCGTTCCGATCGCCATGGCCTTGCTCCCTTCAACCTGCCGAATCACGTGTCGCAGAGACCTCTCGTCGCCGGCGATGTGACCGCCATTTGGCAGAACGAGCTCTCCACGCCTGTCACACGAGCCACTACTGGGGAGTTGAGACCGGCGGCGCGGTACAACGGTCGGACGTTTTCGGCCAATGCACCGTTGGCCGGCCGTGCTTCCGAACACGCTGGGGAACACCACCACTGGCAGCAGCAGCAGCAGCAGCAGCAGCAGCAGCAGCAGCACTACCAGTGCCATGGTGACCACCACGACCGAGAGCATCAGCAACGGCTACAGCAGTACATGTACCGGTCGAGATTCCACTCTACAAGGCCTGGTGCATTCTCCGGCCCTTCCGCCGCCTCGGAAGACTGCGTTTCGCCGACAGAGGCAAGTTTAGTTCTCCTGTACAACTGGTGACCAGTTGTGACTTGATATTTGTCATGTCGTGTCTTTGCACTGCTGTCGATTTACGTGTCACCGCTACTTCGCCACAGACGAGGCTACATAAATAACTGCATTCTGCGGTCATTTTGTACTTTGGTCGTTGCGCGCGACATGCAGTTATATTTGTCTCCGTACGTATGCATAGCCCACAGCATACACCACCAGCCAAACTGCCACAAGAGGCAGCAGATATCACCACAGCTGCTGTTGAGCTACCAATACCATGGCTCTACCGTCGTCATAAAAAATAGGACAAAACAAAACACACACACACACACACACACACATCATGATTCACATGTGCACGATTGTCACGTGTTGGTGTGGTTGTCTGACCTGGTACGTACGTACATGCAGTGCGGCACTGCAATACCTTCTAAGCGCGTGTGCCTCTCACTACTTGTAGCGAGAGCAGAACTTCGACCTGGGTGCCACATTAATTGCACTATTTACGTCATGGTAAGGCTCACCGACCGATCCATTCAGGCGTCAACGCGGTATTTTCCGGCAGCACCCATGCTGTCCCAATATCTGCTCTCTCTGTAGGCTTCATCTCGATTGCATTTGCGACACCGCCATGGACTAATGATATTGCTCTCGGAGGACGAAACTACATGTATCACGGTGGACCCCCCCGTACTCTACGCACAGCACGATAATCTATTCGTTTGCCCGAGATCGGTTCCGCGATTCCCTCCGCCTGCACCTTTGCATTTCGTTCTCTTTACCGCCCAGAAATGGCGCGAAAAACTGGAGCGTGGTCAGCCAAGTGGTCCCAGAGAGGTGCACGGCCGGCGGAGAGAGGCCCTGGAAGATGGTCGTAGTGAGGCCGAGGCCCGCTGGTCTGGCGACGGAGAACGCCTACCGTGCCTGGGTTGCCTGGCTAAAGAGGCCGAGCTAGCGGAGGCGATTGAGTCTCTTGAGTTGGTCCAATTGAGGTCGCGCGCGGCCGTGGACCGCTGCAATGAGCAGCAGGCGGAGCTCGAGCGCCGGGAGGAACATACCCTGGAACTACAGAAGGCTCTAGAGGCGAAAAAATCCGAAGTACTTCGCATAGAGGTGAGAGAACGAGGACACATTCACACACTCAGAATTCAGATTGTGAAATATTTTTGCGCTGTTTTTTCGTTTCGATTACCTCGAATGACATATCCTGTGTCCTGTGGAGGGAGAGAGAGTTCCCTCCCCTGTACGACACGTTCCGCCGGGTACAAAGTCTCGGGTATTGTCCTAACTTGTCTCTCCTACTTAAATACAATATCTCTTTCCGAATACAACCAACCGGGACGAGGCTGTTCTACACACTACCGTGAGAATCTCCCAATCCGTTTTCCTTCGTAATCTGCTTCGGGAGACAGCGATGACCTGCTTGGTGGTCCGACGTCATGCAGTTTGTACCACTACTTAAAAGCGGTGCGACACACGCCCCGCGTGTTGTCATCCGCTGAGCGGAATAGAACGACTCAGTCTTTGGGCTTCGTGCCGCGACGCCCGCGGAGGACTCTAAGAGATACTCCGCCGATCAGCGCACCAGCAAGCGCTATTGTACCTCGGAGAGAGAGGAGGATCAACTCCATCTCTCTGACGGAGGAGTGTAGTACCATGTAGCGATACACATGTCCTTTTTTTTTCTTGATGCGTCCTCCCCCCTGGCCCGCTTGTATCGTTGAGGACCCCGCCGCGATGATTCACATTGTTGCTGTGATGTCTCGCACACGAGAAACAAGTTGAGGTACACTCGCGAACAACGACCGCGCTATCCGGTTGACAAATCCAAAGACGCCCGTCTACGCGGACGAAACATGGCAAGGACTCTTTCTGATTTTTTAGCGTGTGCATGTGTCCTCACTCTCACACCTGTGGTCGAAGGACTCCGGACTTTGTCTCCTCTAGAGATCTCCCGAGCTTCAGGTTGTGTTCCCGCCGGCGCTCCAGGTCGTCTTGCTGCTTGTTGCAGCGGTCCACGGCCACGCGCGACTTCACCTTGACTTATTCCTGGGAGTTAACTAACTCGAGTTAACTAACTCCCTGGAATAAGTCGACGTGACGTCGCGCGCGGCGGTTGATCTCTTTAGTTAGCAGCAGGCCGACCTTGAGCGCCGGCGGGTCACGCCCGGCAGCTACAGATATCTCTAGAGGAGACAAAGTCGGAAGCCCTTCGACTACTACAGGTGGGAGAGGGAGGATACAAGCACACACTCAGCACTTGAAAAGAGTCCTTGTAATGTTTTGATTGGTGCGCGTCGACCGACGCCTTTGCATTGGTCGCTTGGGTAGCGCGGTTGGTGCAAATTGAAGAAACACACATGCACGATGCACCTCTCCTGTATCGCGATAGAAATTGCTGCTCTCGAATACAGCCCCCTTGCATGACTCTGACACACCCGCGACGGGTAACGTTAATGTTCCCGTCTCGGAAGCAACGCGTAAGCTTCGATAGAGAAGGCAAAGTGTTCCCCGTTTGCTGCAAGGTTGACGTGTAGCACATCGGCCTCTCTTGGGCACCGATTGCCTAGAAGCATTTGTTGCCTCGCAGGACTGGCAGGATCCCGTCTCAAATCACGGCCACACACTGCCCAACGCCAGTGTTTCCCTACCCTGCAGAGATGAAAGTATTTTTTTGTAACAGCTTCCCGAGTGGCGCGCGGCATTCGTTCACGCGGAACGACGTCACCAAAGAGTCGATACCCGTTAAATGGGCGCGTGTTTCTACCGTCACGGTCGTCTTTCGGATTTCTCCAACGCCAGGCATCTATGCAGGAGTTTGAAAGGGAGGACACCGCTCTTCACGCTCAGGCCGCGAAGTGGGAAAGCTCCGGAATGCTTTCCCTCTCCGCGGCCTGAGCGCGCAGAGCGAGGTTTTCCGTCTCAAGTCTCTGCATCGAACCTGACGACGAAAATTTCGAAATTGGACAGCTTCAGTAGAAATGCGCGCCCATGCAACAGGGAGTGGTTCTTTGGTGCCGACGTTCCGCCAAGTAGAACGCTACGCTACACTCAGGAAACTGTCACAATATAGAAAATTAATATCTGCGGAGTAGGAAACAATGACCATTCTCTCGCGCTATTGGCAGGACCCATTATCGTATCACGGGCACACAACATGACGTACGGTTCCGGCATTGTTCCCTACTCCGTTGAGATGTAAGTTTATGTTTGTACCAGCTTCCCGAGTGTAGCGCGGCATTCGTTCATACGGAACGTCGGAACTAAAGACCGATTGCATGTGCGCACACTTGTGCTAAAGAATCCGTCGATTGTTACATCGCCAGGTGTGTCTGCAGCAGCTCCAAAGGGAGAACGCCGCTCTTCGCGCCCAGGCCGCGGGGAGGGCAAGCTCTTCTGCTGCAGCAGGAATCCTACAGAGCCTGGCGGTAAGTCGGAGTACCTCGTTCTTGGCGGCGGTAGGCATTGATCAGTATTCACCATCGTATAGTGTCCTGTTGCGGCAGGGGGCAGGAGGTAGACCGGAAGCACGATGACATGCATGCAGTACCCCGGCCGAAAAAGGTTGAACGCATAGAACAGCTCTTGTGCGCCGGGTAGAACCGATTTCGAGGCATTAGACTCACGGACGAACGGCCGTAGAGCATGTCTTTCGCGAAAAGACGAAACGTGTTGGATGTACAGCATATCCACTGCTACAATTCAGCTGCTGACTTGTAGCATAGTGGATATCCTGTACATCCGATCCACGCATAGCCCAACCGGTGTGACAGGCGCGTGGTCGTTGGTTTGCCGTTCAGCGTGGTTATTGGCACGTATTTTTCACTGTCCGGTCTGAACGAGACTTGGAACATGCCCGCCTTTTAGGAGAGGACAGACATGCTTTTGGCTGAACAATGCCAACAAAGCCGTGGCGAACAATACCCCACGCCAGCGACACGTCCCCGGTCGCTATCACAAATCAAACACCTTCCGCTTGGTATTGATCTACGTGTGAATTTTGTCCTGATGTTCATGTTTTCCCCTTCCCGATAGGCCGCCACCGCCACCGCCACCACCACCGCCGCGGGAGGGGGGGTAGGCGCAGAGCAGGGCGTGGTTGCCGTACCCCCAAGGAGCGACGACTTGGGAGCCGCGTTCGTCCGACGTCAGCTGGAAGACGCCTGCGCGAAGGCGGTGTTTGCCCAGCGTGCGCTCGATCCCGAGCGCGGGTTGCTCCAGATGGCCGACGAGCTCGGGGCTGGTGGACACGGCACCGTGCGTAAGGCCGTGGACCCGACCACGGGGAAGACATTCGCGGTCAAGACCGCCAACGACGTGAGTGATTTGGTGGTAGATGGCATGCTGAATGAAGGGTGCGCACACAGGCATCAAGACACGCAGACGAACTTAATATTCGGCGGCACGCTCTCGCGCTGCAGGTGTTCGTAATCGCGGTCACACTCTTTTCTCGACACCGCGGCTCATGACACGGTTGAAGGTGTTGTTGTCGTTGTGTTTTGCGGCACATGTTGGGGGGTCCGTGCCCTGTCTTACCGGTCGTCTGTTGCTCGTGCAACGCGGAAGCACATTCATGTATCATGGAGAAAACATCGACTGTTGGATGTAGGCACAGGCGCTTTATCATGGTTTGGTGGCACCGACGCCCCTACTAGCACCCTCCCCCCCCACGCTAACCAACGTCTCTTGGCATGTTGACCCTTTCCTCGTCGAACCGCCTCCCTTTACGTACTGCCCCCTCCAATTCCGCACCCAATCGCCTTCGTGGTGGTGCTGGTGCTACCGCCGCTGCGTTGCGAACAAATCCTGATCTACCGCTGCTCGATCCCTCCTTTCGGTACAGGAGGAAGGCAAGACCTGCCTGAAGCACGAAGCGAAGAACCTCATCCGGTAAGATCGGTCTCAACCATTGCATTTATTGTATTGCAGTCGTACTACTTCATGCTGCTACAGTACCTCCACCCATATCACGTCATGTGTTGTTATTACGTGGCTGCATGGGTGCGAGGTGTTCTCCCATGTCTTTGCTCTCTGCACCTGTGCCGAGCAAGCGGCAATGCTGTAGACCATGGTCGGTCGTTTTCCTTGGCTTTTCATCGGTGTACGGATAGCAGCGTTGGCTTTCTCGACAGAAAAAATGTTCACCAGGTATGTATGTTGCTTCCCGCGAGCTCTGCAGTGCCGAGGGCGGATAAGGGGGGAAAGTTTCATTCATTGGCCCCCTCGCCTCGTGGGTTAGGACAGTATGAACGCGCAAGGTTTCTAGACTATCCCCCGCAAGGATACTTACACTTGTTCCTCTTGGCTTTCCCCGTCGCTGACCTGTCAGCAACACAAGCACCGACGTGCTTGAGTTCTCGTTTATTAAATAGCTTTTGTGCAATAAACCCATGAACGAATGGTACGCTTGCCTTATTCGATGTCGTTCGCGGTCCGTCGTCTGTCCGTGTGTTGCAGGCTAGGAACGCACGAAGGCGTCGTAGAGGTGATGGCCATCCTCGATAAAGACAATTCGATGGCCATCGCGATGGAGCTCGGGCAAACCGACCTCCAACACGCCATGTTCGACCAGAAGCGCACGGTGGTCGAACTGTTGACGTAAGTGCGGGAAACAAACACGCACAGCACCCTCGGGCACGTCTCAAATGCTCTCCGGCAACGGTGTATACATATATTACACCAGTAGGCGCACAAACCCTAGTCGTGCCATAACCAGCTCCACCTTTGTTCCCCTTCAGACCGAGATGAAATGTTATTAGGGTTCGGTCGTACTCTCCGTCCATGCCTTGCGTACCGACGGAGCAGGCAGAGAGCTGATGGTTAAGACGGTATTCGTGTGAGGTGAGGGAGGCAGCGCAAGAGAAGAGAGGCCCCCAAGCGTGAAAAAAATCAATGCCCGATTCCACCATCAACAGCAGGGTTATCTACACCGCTCGTCCAGTGTTGTGTCGCCTCTCTCGGTTGAAAGTAGTACAGTTCGTCTTTTGTGTAGCGGCAGTCTGCTTGGCGGGCGAATATCCATCTCACTCCATTCCGGTTGTATGGGGTTACCAGGGTCCATGACCAAACAATTCACTGCGACAACCATGGCACCAAGTACCTCCCTAGATGCACGACCCGCGTATCCCTTTGTTCACAAGTGTCGTATTCTTCCACACCCAGACAAAGAGAAGTAGATGGCGGGGTGTCATCCCTAACACTGCTTCTGCCTGCAAACTGGCGAATTTGTTCAGGTATGCCGCGCAGGTGGCTGACGGAGTGGACTTCATGCACTCCAAGGGCCTCGTCCACGGAGACCTTAAGCCCGACAACGTCCTTCTCGTCAAGAAGACTGACACCCTTACCGTGGCCAAGTTGGCCGACCTCGGACTGTCGCGCGGTAAGACATAGGACACCGAGAGAGAGAGAGAGAGAGAGAGAGAATGTGTTGCTTCGAGCAGTGATGTAGTATTGCAGAGCTGCCCTGCTTGTTATTTCTTACGGATCATTTTTTTGAACAAGCAGAGACATCAGCGGAACTTAATTATTTTCTCTCCTTCTCTACCCCCCCCTGTGCATTGCTTGCTCATGTACATGGTTACCCTGCCGCCACCACTACCTCCGGACCCCCCACGTCCACCACCACAGCGGTGGGTGAGAGGAAATACAGAGGCTGCGGTACGCTCGGGAACTCCATCACTCCAAACAACTTCTTCAGGGCCGTTCCCGCGGACAAGGCCGACGACGTCTGGGCCCTCGGCGTGCTGCTCCTGTCCTTGCTGCTGCCGCGGGGCCTCTTCTCGAGCAACTTCTTGACGAGTCGTGTCCTCCACACCGCCGCGGAGAGGGAGGCACTCGCACGCTCCACCACGAGCAGGCAGAGACTCGAGATTAAGGTGCGGTTAGGTGGGCAGGCCCCGGGAATTAGATGCTGCGTGCCACCGCCACCGCTCCCGCATTTTTGTCTCCCACGCTGGTGACGCCGTCGTCGTCGTCGTCGTTGGCGTTTTTTTTTCTTCTTTTTCTTTTGCTGTTTCCGTGTTATTTTCCGTTCCGGTCTCGGCCCAGTGCTTGTAAACATGCGTGGTACCGGTCCGTCTGACTCCTTTCTAAATTCAAAGGCGAACTTCCCCGAAAAGGGCACATCATTACAAAATCTGCTAAGAACATAGAAAGCAGGGCCTGTTTCTTGCGTTTGGGTTCTCGACCGACGTTTTGTGTGGGCAGGGAGCGGGTGGTTTGAACCTGCCCACCAGAAGACAGAAGCAAACATGTTGGGTGGTTGGTTGTCTGTTGTTTTGTCAAGGGCGTACGTGGTGACCTGTCGCACGGATGCATCTATATCTGGTAGGCTCTACGGTGGTTTGTGTCATGTATTTTTCACAGGACCAAGGTTGACCCACACGTGTTCACAGCTCGTACTCGTGCCAGTTGGCACCAGCTTTACGCCCGTTGTGCTTTTCCGTCCTACAGTAGTTCTAGCACCCATGCACGTGGTATGTGGTACCGCACGTTCGAGTCTACGAGAGACGGTATCTGTGTGAGCTAGCCAATGGCCCGGCTTTTTCGGGGGACCTCAGCCCTAGAGTAACTCTGAGTGTGTCTGGAACGAACTTAAAGACGTCAGGCGTAATATCGTTGAGTGCAGGCGGTGTTTGCCATCGGGATTGGGTTTTCGTCGCTTGGCAACGACGATGTAAAGCAAGCCAATTCACTTCGTGAACTCGGCAACCAGGTTACCGGTTATTTTTTTACCTCGTTTTTTTTTTTTGGCGGTAACCATAATGGTGGTCGAGTAGATCATGTTGTGCGGGGTGGAGAACCCTCACTCCGCGCAACGGGGGATGATCGCACCACGTTGTGTTAAAATGGTCAAGCATCCTCGAAGCAGCTACACAGTGCTAATAACTGTCTCTGGAAGTGAAACCACCAGAAAATAAAATAGGTCATACGTAGCTGTCATCCGTACGCAAGGAAGTAAGCACAAGATGCCGAACACCCTTAGCAGGATGGCAGCTCACCCTTCATGCGACTCGCCAAATACCTCACGGCGCTTCGCGCTTGGTGATGTGAGAGCCTGGTCCGGTGAGAACCCGGCGTGCTCCGTCCCGGCTTTGTAGGGATGCGAGGTCAATGGTCTAACGACTACGGTATGCACGACTATGAGTACCCCCCCCCCCCCCCCCACCCCCGAAAGGGGCCCCCGGGGGTCCCCCCCCCTTGTTTTTTCCCCCTCCCATAAGGGGAGGTCCTTCCCCCCGGGAAAGAAACCTCCCAAAAACGGCTTCCAAAAAAGAAGGGTCAGGAGGGGGTCCTTCTCCCCCCCCAACCAAACAAGGGGGGGAATTTTTCCCCCCCTAACCCTTGGCC